TTATTATTATTATTATTCTTTTCTCCCTATATTTACTGACCCTTCACTTTTTGTATGTTTTATGTGTCTTTTTATTTACTTCTTTTATTATATGATCTATATATACTTTATGTACCTTGTTTTTTTTATTATGTATTTCACCTGTTACCATCGGTCCATGGACAACAGATGTAAAATAGCCATTTTGGCTAATTCTGGCACATTTACATTTTATGTTTATTAATGTGCACTGTCCATGTCAAATAAACCCTAAATAAAAAAAAATAAAAAAAAAACTATTTTCATAATTAAGTTCAAAGCTGTCCACAGATAAATGGGGAAGTGCTGAAAATATTAACAGTTACCTAAATATTGCAAAAGAGATGCATGTTTTGCTTTTAGGGGTCAGTAGAGGCTGATTTAGCATTTACAGCCACCCATCTACTGCTGTATATAAATTTTATATGTTGTTCATTTTGTTACCATAAAAGTGGTGGTGTGGACCCCGAAAACCTTTTATCAGGAAAAGTGCCATTCAGAGTCATGGAACACAGTGACACGAGTACAAATTCACCAAACCTGACATCGTTGCATTTCTTCGAGCTGACAAGTAAACACCTTAAATCAGTAATGCTATATGTATAATACATTGCCTGTGTTTTGACACCCATCACCCAATGCTGACTTAGGAAAAACGGGCGCTTACAAAGGCAGTTGTAACGCAAGAAATATATTCAGGTCACAAAAGTTTTAAAAGAATTGCAAATCTAGTACAGAGGCTATGCCACCCACTGTCAGGGTATCCAAGGTACTGCCGCAGCTTTATGGATAGCCTTGTAAAATGTAAAATGGACGCAATTGTTAAGCACTTCTTTCGTAGCTAGCATTTGAAATGAGTAACTTTCCGCTGAGTGTTGACTTATGGCAATGACAAAACCTTACTACTGTGGTTAGTAACATTCAACGACAATTATAAGCCCCAGTGGGGCCTTTGACTTCATACGGTATTTATTTGTAGCTATCGATAGAATGTGAGATATATCTACTCCACAGTGACAAAATTCCATGTGCAGCTACATTTATTTATTTATTTTTCCCATAATACACGAAAGCACAACACCAAAATGGATACTTTTGGAGAATAAACACCTAGCAATATAAATTCAGTTCTCTTAACATGGTTATATATCTAAAGCTTTTAAGAATCCTGTTAACGTCAAATATGACAGATTTTTTTTAATGGGATGAATATGGCACACAGAAAAAGCTGAAATCTGTAGCTAGTCAGTATCTACTTACTGGTATTTCTTAGTTTTCAAGCTGCAGTTCATGTTTTTAATAATTTTAAAAGGTAAGGAAATACTATAGGGGTTACGTAGCTCCAAAGATTGAATTACAGTTTGTTCTATATAGCAATGTTTAAATATATAAAAGAGGCGAGTAAATAAAAGCTACATCACGGAATCCAGAAGTAACCACAAATTGTAAACGATGATATAAAAAGCTAAATCTGTCATCATCTAAGCATTACTGACATAACTTAAATCCGAAACATGTGGTTACCTCATTAAAATGTTAAAAAGCTGTTAAACTTCAGCCCCTCGGGCGATTTTAGACAATTAACAAAAATTACATCATAAGAAGAATCTTCCGCTATGGCCTTTTATTCCAGCAAGATTGTTTTACCCTCAACCCCAAATCCAGACCCATTAAACATTGATTACAAAAATGTCTTTGATGTTCTGAGCTTTGAAGGACCCTGGAAATCAGAGATTCTATGGTTCGCTCCACCCAGCACAGTGACTAAATGTCTCAGTTGATCGAAATTAATTTAATACATGTAACTTTAACGTTGCCTAAGGGGAATTGACTTTTAACATGAACGGACCCAAATAACTATGAACTAAGGTCCCTTGGCTGCAAATATCAAGGAAACAAAATGGTTTCAAGTTATATGATAAGATAAAAAAAAAAATCTTAAATCCTATCAAAAACAAGGATGTAAAACTCAGAGGGAAAAAACGGAGATAACTGAACAAACTGCCGCATAACTTAAATTATTCCTCAGCTACTGAGGATCGTTTTATAAATGTGCAGAGTTACTAAGAACTTTGCTGCTGCCTGGGGCTACCAGCCCCTGCTAAAAGCACTGAGGCTGGACAGATTGCATTCAATAACCCACAGCGTTTATTAAACAATTGATTTACACAGATATCTCATGTTTCTGCACTAGCCATTTGTTCCATTTCTTAACTCTTTACAATAACTGACATAACAAGGATCCTGATACCGGAGATTCCCCCTGCAGGCAATTGACTGGTTTTCTTGTTGTTGCACTTTACAACGTTTCCCTTGGCAACCAGGTTGTTTATTTATTCATTAGCATCTTGTTATTTAAAGTGGATTGGGTGAGTCGATACAATGTTAATACATTTCTCTGTTCATCTCGCTGAACTTTGATATCAGTAAATTTATTCATTTGGCCATTAACCTTCAAATGATCTGACTACTAACAATAAAGCTACATATTTATTTTTGAAATGGTTTCATTGTACATTTCCTATTGACGGAAGTGTTTAAAATTCCAACAGTTCTGTTAACATATGACAGTAAATGTATATTAATAAATTCAGGATTTTAATGCATAATTATTAAAGGGTAAAATTGAAGGAACCTAATATTTTTAATTCCTGATACGGATCTATATAATATACACCATAACATTCAAATGAATTATACACAACAGACATGATCAGATTAATATTCACAGCAATGCAGTTCATATTATCAGTGTGTTCAAAGCCTTAAAAAGGAAGAATAATATTGTTTAAAATTAGTAAAAATGAATTTAAAAAGTAATTAATACATGACATTTGTGTGTGAGGCTCTGCAATTTCAAATAGCTCAATCCCAGTAGGCATGAAAGGTTATGTGTTTAAAAAAATCAGCTTGAATATAACATCACAGATATTACAACACATGTTAAAGCTTCTGTAAGATCTACTGTTCATCCTTAGAAAGAAGTTATTATTGATTACATCAAGAAATGGTAAGGTATACTTTCAGGAAGGTGACTTTAATATGCACACAGAACATAACCCACGTATGTATGTGACTGGCATAACGATTATGCAGATATGTCAGCGATTCACAAGTTATATGCACTGTTAATGCACCATATGCAGGCCGGCATGTAGCAGGCTGGCAACCAACAACGTCTCGTCAAAAGTGTTTGGTCATGATGTGGCGTGGAGCTAAGGGTGGAAAAATTACTCACCCTGTGTTCCTCCTGCTGCTTCTGTTAAGTACTCATACTACTGCATACCAGGCCCTGCTACTGTACGGTACCATTTCAGGCCATTCGCATCACAGCAGGGAGGAAATGCTGTATCAGGAAATGCAGATGAGAGCAGACCTCCATGCATTATACTGCATTAATTCTGCCTCCTAATGGAATGACTAGCAAAATGCGCCCCATGCTTTATTTTTTCTTTACTTTTTTTGTTGCTGGGACAGGTTATTCCTCCTGCTGTTACGCAACAATGGTCATTTGTTGAGAGCCTGGCGAAAGATTAATTGCGAGACCGTGTCATGCTCCTCCACTAATCAGAAGTCCATCGCCTATAACCCCTGCCCCATGTGAACCACAAACGGGTGTCACGAGAGAGTGTGTGGCCCCTGACTGCTTCTGGTGACACGGGGACCTTGCCAAAAACCCTCCGCCTTTCTGCCTGCTGTTGTACGTCAATGATGATGTCCTTCCTTGTCTTATTCCACCCCCAGCTGCTGGGTTTGTGTAGTTTTGCTTTATTTTGTTTTGCACCTGTTACAGGCAGTCCCCAGGTTAAGAACGTCCAACTTACAAACAACTAGTACTTACAAACCAACTACCATAAAGCCTATTATATTTAAAATTAGAGTTAAATACAATGATTCCTAATAACGAATGCACGCACTACTTTGTGACATTCATGAAAACATTGCGTGGCTTCATCAACTTGAGGCACAGAACAGTGCCGTATGTGCTACTTTTTATTACGGTATTATTATTGTTCCAACTTACCTATAAATTCGCCTTAAAGACAGACTTAGGGGACGAATGTTGCTAGTACCCTTGGGGACGGCCTGCATTTCCCACTTGCATGCCAATACAGAACATCATTAATAGACTACAAACGTACAAACCTAACTGTGCACTTTACCAGGTCGTGTCACTGAAGTTCCAGCAAAATACACACCTACTCCTGCAGCTATGCACTCTTAAAATATCAGGTACGAACCGTTTGCTTACGTAAGCACAACAGGGAACTGCAGGGAGACCTATATGGTTCATGTTCCAGCAATATCCATTTTTTAAAACACCCAGATAAGCCATGTTGCATACTTACTGTTTGGCATCCATAAGCTGCCGTTTCAATTTAATTGTCTACTAGAGATGCTGCACCTTCCAAATGTAAATATTTTTCAAATGCAATGTTATTAGTAGTATACAAGGTTGTGAAGAAAATCTGAAATGTACTTTTTCAAAATACAACCCCACAACATTTGTATTACAGCTGTATTATGTAAATTTACTGTAATTACAAACATTAAAAGGTCGCCTGTTTCTAAGCATGGAAGATTAATCAACGGTTCAACGGTCAAACAGATTGATGTGAGGTCCTTTTAATCACCCAGAGAGATATTCTCTTTGCCAGGTCCTGTCCCTTGCAGGCAACGGATTGAAGTATTATAGGGCAGACCTTACCTTGGGAATTAGCCTGCAAGACCCCGATGCTGTCATCAAACTGCATAGATTGAATGTTGAGTGATGCCAAGATGCATTCCTTGTCCTGCAGTGAAGCATCATCAATACTGCTCTGATTGGCCGATAGAATAACACACATGTCGCAGAGGTTTATGTTGACAGCCCTCAGATCAGCCCGACTTAATGGTGTACCCTATGGCACAAAGAGAGAGGAAAAACAAATTAAAGACCGAGAGTGGGGTTCTGGGAAATTAGCTAACAAGCATGCTGCTTTTAATGCTATGACATTCAGCTGATTTTACTCCACACTGGAGAATCAGGGATGTGTGCTAATCTAAAGGGTACATACTCCTACTGGCAATGTTAGAGGGTTAGGTAGAATAGTTGCTTTATTCTTCAGTTAGAAATAGGAGCAGGAATTACGTCATTTCTTTATTACATATGATGCACGCCAGGCTATTTAATTACATTTAACAGAAGTTAATCAAGATGAATATTCTCAGTTAGCATACTGTTCAAGCATAAAATCTATAAGATAAATTTACAAAACATATAACTGCTTTGGCCACACAATGACTTCAAATATATATATAAAAAAAAAGATTTTAAGAATTGCTGCGTTCATTATGGAACACTGCAGGAGCAAATCCCAAAACATTTGTTTCGTCTTTTTTGGTAGCAGCAAAAGCTAATCTGTAATGCTGGTGATGTACAGCTTGTTAGGATCTGGTGATTCTCTATATGAAGACTGATCAATGCTGCAGCAAAAGGTATTAAGTCTCATTCTGTTCGATGTGTCTAACAGGTCTAAAGTCTGTATACTGAATACTGAATAATAGGCATTTAAAAATATATTAAAATAAACAATAAAGTTTGGTCAGACAGTTTTGACAGGTTTTCTACATTATGCAATCAATCAATCAATCAATCAATATCAGTACATTTTTTAAAAAGAAGCAGCTAATTATTATTAGAAGAAAAAAAATGGAGTGTTGCTACACTTGAAATATACATTGTACATGAAACTAAGTCTGTGCTACTTATGATTTAATCACCAATGCCTGACAGCAGAGTGTACATGGTAGCTATGAAAGGCCGGCCCACACTCACAGGCAAAATGGAAACTTTGGGGAAGTTGTGAAGCGTCTCCCACTCCCGCTTCAGGTACTCCAGGGCACCCACAAACACAATGGGCTTCAGCTCATGGTAGTGGAAGTTGCTGGCTCTCAAAGGCATCACCAGGTTTCTCAGCCCAATCACGGCAGAATTGATATCGCCGAATATACAGACCACCACGTGACCGCTCAGAACTGTCATGGCGGCCTCACTTCGCGTCTGAAAAGGGGGGGGGGGGGCATACATGAATTATGACATAATGATAACGACGGTGAGTGCTTGTATACACGAGGAAAACGTCTGAGTAGAAAAGGTGACTCAAGCTGATGGGAAAGACTGCTGCTTTATCTTATTACTCTCTACCATAATCAAGACTGTTCAGCAATAATTCACTTTGAATTAGTGGATTCGCCCTAGTTAAACAGAGAAAACATTTTATCTTTTATCAATTAGTATCTGGTGCTGCACACACTCTGACTAATGTACTTTCAATGATTAAAAGAGCATATATTTTATCCAGCTCTTTCGCACCATAAATATTTGTCTATAATTTAGAAGTGCTTGAATAGTTCATTTATTAAGAAAGGTCCTGCAGCATCATAAATAAAACCAGGTCACTTTATGTATGAAGCGATACAAAATAACATTTCATTAACAAGGTGCTACTTGCAGGAAGGTGTACCACTCAGGTGACTATAAGTGTTTAAGAGCAATTTTTGCACGAACCACTTTTTTGGAATATGTGACACGTACTGGTGTTGATGTGAGAATTGTGAGATTTCTGGTGCCACGGGCAGTAATACCCACCAGGATGGCCTTCTCGATATCCCTGGTTGTGCACCAGTGAAACATTCCTGTGGAATCAAACTTCTTCACGCTTACTTCCGTGTGATCAATTTCATTTCCTGCAAAGGGGTCGTGCCTGTTCGGGACAAAGAGGGACACTAAAATCGCAGAACCGCACCATAAAGATATATTTTTCATTTCACAACCTTAGGAATATTGCAATAGATAAACCCAATTCGGTTTCCTTAGAATGAAAATTAATTCAACTTCAGTTTCAGATTCACTGATGTCAGAATTTGTTAAAAATGGCAGAAACCATCCGCGTGGACCGTTCTGTCAGCGCTGGAATGGACAGGACGTAAAATGTAGGCTTTAGTGATTGAATGGCATGAGAATGGAATGACAATTATGCGCTTTTACAGGACACAGTTTCTGACATGATGTTCTTCTCAGTAAAAGCTTTAACAGGCTGCAGTTTAAATATTTTAGCAATTTGCCCAATCATATTTTGCTCCACATACTCAAGACCATTAAAGTTTCAGCAATGTGTCACGACCAAACAGGCTAATTTATTTCAGTGATATGAACAGCTGATTTTAATTCTACGCAACACTGACCATATAAGTGCCCTCACAGCTGAGATAGCTGTGGTTATGGTATGTTCACATCAATTTGCAGACAGCTGACCAATGAACAATACTAAGAGTGGTGTCTGTACAGTATGTCTCTTAAAACTGAATGGATGGAAACCAACATTTTGTATAATGCAACTCATGACTTGTTTTAATTTTATACATACACACACACACACACACACACACACGTCGGGTAGACATATCTTTATGGGGACCGCTCATTCATTTCTATGGGAAAAATGCTAACGCTAACTATGACAACCTTAACCCCTACCCAGCCCTAACCATAACCATAAGTAACCAAACAAAATACAAGAGTTTTTGCATTTTTAGTTTTTTCATTGCAGTAACAGATTTTTATTAAATTGAGTGCTCCCTCATAGGGACCAGGAAACCGGTCCCCATAAGGGAAAAAAACGGGTATTCATCATATTGTGGGGACATTGTGTAAAGTATACCCGCTCACACACACACACACACACACACACTATATTATATCATATATATATATTATAATATAATAGCATATTTAGTATACATGGATACATTCCTAATATTTTACCAACAATTAATAAAAATTTACTCATCAAACATGAGTAAATTGACTCCTTTATTTTTAAGATAACTTTTATAAGGTTTAAAAAGGGAATATAAATGTCCTAAATTATAATGGTGCATAATGAAACTGTTAATTACACACTACAATAATATTAGATTAATTACTAAATAGGTAAGCTTTGTCATGCTGGGTGACAAGAATCTTGTAGCTGGTTTGCCGGCTTTTTGGCTGTTTTGGAATGAGGTTCGATGTTTACTGTCCCTGACTCATTTTCCAAAACAGAACCTGTACTATTGTCACAAATTTTTATGCTGCAGTCACATGGCATAATCATTCTAGACTGCTTATTTTGGTATGGTAACACAACTGAACACCATTGTCTTAACATCAGCGTTAACACATACAGTACGCTAAGTGCAAAACAATTACGGCACAGGACTAAACCAAAGCCTCTAATTTAGTCATTTTCATCTTCTAGTTTTTTCATTTTTTCATTATGCCCGCTGAATGCATTTTCGAAAACTGCGGAAGTACGACTCGTGTGCATTTACTGCTATCTATATTGCTGTTCTGAGGGTGAACGTGCTTATTTTTCCCCAGATATAAATAATTAACCTTTTGATTCATACAAGCACTTTCAGAATGACACCATACACAGCATTTTAAGTATGTATGATGGTGTCAAGGAAAGCTACAGTACTTCAGCCTCCTAGAAGAATGGGTCAAAATGTCTGCCTTAAAGGTGAAAGCCTAAGGCTAGATTATAAAGCCCCTTTCAGTAAAGTCGCTTCAGGGAAACAACTCTCTCCCTTTCATGCCTCTGCTTCTCAGCTTCCACAAAGCAACAATACCATCATTTATAATGATTGCAATATCAATATAAAACACAGAAAGTCAGGCCTTTTCATGTAGAGTGAGGAGACTTTGTGCACTTTCTTTTTTTATTATTTAAATAAGTCTTCTGACAATCTTTACTTTTTCCACATTATTAAAATTCTGACAACTAAGGTCTCTACCTGGGAAACCGGATAGAAAAAAGTGTCCCTTATCTACTTTTGATCACATTTCTCATGCCAAAAATAAAGACCGTCAGGGCTATGATTAAAAACATTAACACAAGTGTCTTGATGTACCCCCTCAAGCAGTAGAATAAATATTATAGAATAGGCTCTTCTCAAAAACCCGTCCCAAGCGAGAACCAATTGTACTCTATTCTGCTTATATCTCCTGCCATTGTTTTTATGTTTGACATATTCTTACTTAAAATAACATCTGCACTTGTAGGTTCTACAATACTGATGTACAGATAGACTGAGCATCATTACAGTATGTTCATCTCATAACTTCTCTGTAGTCTGTCAATCTCTAGCATTATTCACTAATAAATAATTTTATTTTTGTCATTTCTGTGCATTACAATTCAAGTTATCGCTTCAACTTTTACAGATATGTTCAAATTTAGATCATAATATCCTTAAAATTCATTAAGAAATGATACCTGCAATACTTCCGTCAATTGCACAGATACATTTTTACAATTAACGATTTAAATAAATAACAGTATGTTCTTCTTTGTTATATATTGCGGATACTGTATTTTATTAATTATATAAATAGTGATAAAATTATTTTGAAATAACCATCTTCAATTGATAAAACCTTACAGTGTTTATTTTTTTACATTTTTAAGAACTTCAATTTTCAGCATTTGCAAAGAAGTATGACAAAACCAGAAATGACATGATAAAACGTGCATTTTTGGCTCCCTAAACAAACTGCTTTTAAATGGATGGGCTATTTATTTCACATTTCACCCCTTCCGCCGCACATCTCACTTTTTTCCTGTATTGCTGGAATATCACACAGAGACGTGTCAATTAGCATGCTCAGTATGGAGATGGAATCAGCAAGTACAGGTGCTAATAACAGCGAGAGCATTTAGTGCTTTTACACCCCGGCTGAATATTTCATTACGTGTCGCATGTTTCACGATTCACTCTACGGACCCCTGTCAGTTCAATCTTCGCCGGCTACAATGACTGGTGCGGTACGGCTCTGCCAAGATATCTATCTTTCACAGACTGTCAGCGATGACTGCTTGTCACAAGCCAACTCTTCCGATTGCTGCGACTCCAGGGTACCAGACATGATATTCGTGCCACCGCACAAAGCGATCTGAACAAATGCATTGTGACTTTCCACAATTAGATGTGTCTCGTGACCCATCAAAAGGTCCATGGGAATGGTGTTAATTTCAACAAAGAATTTTATATGGAGGGATAAGACATAACTTGTTACTTCCGTGACACTTTAGGTCATCCAACTGGGAAATGGCTTTATTTACATACCAGATTGTTTTTTTTATCAAGTTTTATTTTCCCCTCCATAGATGAGCCGTGTTTTGTTCTCTACCCTGACAAATTTACCTACAAAATACGCCACCAAGAAGATATTTAGGGGAAAAATATGAATTGCTTTATAAATTAATGTGGTCTATCAGATCATTTTTAAACATGCTAAAATTAATTCATAGGTATCTGAACATAGCTAATTCATGATAAAACATTTATTGAATTATACAGAATGTTCAGATATTTGTACAATTGAACACCTCTGCTATAATAACAACAATGCATAGTTTTCTTCCTTTTCTTACAAAAGAAACAGTGTATTCAGATTTTAATTGCAATGAAGGCTCACAACTAACATCAACAGATGTATTGTATCTGTATCTGTGCACCCAATTCCCATGCAAAACAAAGGCAACTGGAATCAGAGGGGAAAGTGCGCTTACAGCTACACTCGCCTCCGGTTTATCGTTCACACTAGTGTTTAGCTATTCCGCTATTTCACTCCCCGCGTGCTGCAAGCCTGGGATGAGTGCACTCCCTCCATTCCTCTTTTGCAGGCAATGAAAGCGAGCTTTGCTTTGAAAATTTTCCCCATCATGCAAACTGACAAAGGCATGATTTTCAAAAACCCACAGCCAATCTGTTGATCATTACTTATTTACAAAGGCCTTAAGGCTTGGCGCCCTGTAAAAAAAAAAAAAAAAAAAAAAAAATTCTTGATACAGTATACGTTTTTTTCCGCGCTTGTTGAATGAAGTATCCCTAAGGCTACCTCAAACAAATGCTTTCTATTGTGTATAAATGCACCCTTTAACAGTAAAGTATTTAATATATGTGATATAATATATCTACTGAAAAGTGTTTGTGTAAAAGTAGGTATGCTTGTGTTTGGTAATTTGATGCGATGCTGAGGGCTATAGCTTGGAAAAAAGTCTGCACCTAGTACAGAGGACCTGTCATCTCAGTACCCAAGAGCCGGCAGAATATAGAAGTACCCTAAAGCATCCAAACTATGACACCTCTTTGAAGCATATCAAAACTGTGCAAATAACTCAGAAGAATTATTATTACTCAGAGATCAAAGAAAAGATGCATATATTATGTGATGAGGTAAACATTCCACTCTGCACAAGAAAATAAAAATTCACCTTAGAGTTCAGAAATAAAACTAAATATTTTTGAGCAAACAGTTAGTTTGAAATTGGCCAATTTATACAAGGCAGAACACACACACATATCTATGTATGTATATAATATATATATATATATATATTAACCTTTCTTTGAGAAGACAGCAGTTACATTGGGCCCAGCGATGTTTGTTTTTTCTTTTTAACTTTCTTTTTTAAACCAAAATCCTTCAGTGTTATATATTTCAGAAGGCTAAGAACCACTATATGGGTAATGGTTTAGAATCTGTGGAGGTTGATAAAACAGTATATTGTAGGAAAGGGACAAGTTTAAGTTCTTTATTTCCTCTCAAGGGCCTTAAACGATATTTATAGTATGACTGTAATGGTGTGAGCTTCAGCGCGTTGCAATTCCCAAAACATATATGAAGAACACAATCCTGTGTCAGTTAAAGAAATGGCTTAATAATCTATTTGTTTTGCAAACCCTGTAGTATGAGCTGTTAAAATTTCACATACAGGACATACAACCACATTCAAAATGCAGCATTTCTGAAGTTTTGCGGAAATGTAACAGTCTACACAACATGAAGCAGATAGGCACGCTAAGTGCTCTGAGCTAATATAATGCATTCTAAACACGAGACACCCTGCATATCTCCAGTTATCCTGCACATCTTGCTAAGGCAAATGGTTCAGTAATCTTTGAGGAAGGTGGCCGAGGTTAGCGAACAGGGCTAGAAGCTAACAATACGAAGCAAGCACGCCAGAACAATGCACAGTATATCCATATACACTGTAAGCCTTTCCTCTCTAATTCAGCTGCCCCATTCGCAGGGATCACACCGTACAGCCGACGCATACATTTTGAGCTGTCTGACAACGTCATCAGAGACAGCCACACAATCGGCCCGCAATCTGAAAATCGCTACTCCTTCAAGTCGACCAGCTAATTCACACTCGTGTCCCACTTGCACACATTAGACTTGTACTGAAATGTGAGAGTGCATGGTTAATTTTTTTTTCAATTTAAGCTCACAGATGATGATCTCTTGGTATTCTTACAAAACTCATAATGACAATGTGTACATGTTATAAACCTATAAATTAGCATGCTAGTATATTCATTTCTAGTTAAAAATGGAACATTCAAAGCTGACGTGGCTTATCAATACAATATTGTGATTATTCACAACTTGATGGATTGTATGGATTAAATAGGGATATGAATTAATGTATTGCATACAGAATAAAAAAAATAACTTGTAGGTGGTTGATAATTATTATGCTAAATGCTTAGCTAAATTAATTCATCCTGCAGACTTAACATGCATTTCTTGCAAATCCTTCTTCCATCCATGGCCACATGCGCAGAAACTTGGGCCTTTTATCAGTCAAAATCAATTAACGGCAATTTAATTCCAGCGGACAAGATAAAAGGTAGGTAATATTTGAATTCATTTTTGATTGTGACGATACGTCTTGCACACGGCCTTAAGTACCAAAAACAGCACTCAGAGGGATTCCTACAATAGACGAACGGCCCAAGGCAAAGTAACCACATGAGCTCTTCTGATTGGTTAGCGCTGTCATTAGTGCCACTGCTGTTTAAGAAATACATGTGGACGGGACCGGGTGACAGCTGAGACTTTAAAGCAAGAATATTTTTCAAACAGCTTTTCTTACTCTCTTTCATGACAGAAATATCTCAGCTCTATCATTAACTGCTGACAAGCTGACAGAATAAATGCTTCACCCTTAAAGGGTTCTCCTCATTCTCCCGTTCCCCCTCCACCCTTACCGACACCACTCCCCATATGCCCCACACACATACAGTACACACACATGCGCACGCACAACTAATTCAAATGGGCGCACAAGCAAATGAACACACTCAAAATCATCGCGCACGCAAAACTAAAAAGCAGGCACGCAAGGGCATGTAAGCCACCGACGATAATATACAGGCCAAACACACACATACACATGCACACAGGCGCACGTGCACACACACAGGAGTGCACGAGCACATGCGCGCGCGTGACCCAGTGCATGCTCCTCCATCTCCCTCCCGCGTTTTTGACGCATGGAGAAGCTTCCTGAAGCTGTCGACTCACCGCGTCATTTTGGGCGAGCTGTTTGGAGAATTTCGCATGTCTCCGTTCCTCTGCTTTTTTTTAGGCGTTGATGGTGCCTCCTCGTCGCCTGCAAACATATGCAAAGGTGTCAGATTATGAGCTGTAATGTGCAACGGGACTGACATACTAAAGAATGGAAAGTCAACACTCAAACAATCATAGCTAAATCTTAAAGGTCCCAAAACAGAAAGTGAATATGTTAGTAAGGAATAGAGGGAGATCTGTGGGGGCAGGACAGGGTCGTGGAATGTCGTTTGGCTAACAAAATTAACAATAACGAAAATAAAATAATAATAGTAATAATAAACAAAGCCATGCTCCAGTAAAAAAAAAAAAAACACTCTATGAGCATGTGTTGGCACCTAGCGTTAATACTACTGCCCTTTTGATGTCATCACCATCACACTGTCCTCTTCGCAGTGAGCATGCGCTGCCAAAAATATTATAAGCAAATATGACCGTTTAAGATGTGAAACTGGTGCAGTGTACAAGAGCAGTCAATGCAATTTAAAATAGATACAGTGTATTTGTGCTCCGCTACAAATCACCCTCCATTTCATGAGTGCATTCATAAATAGGAATTGTAGTAAAAAAAAAAAACCTACATTAAGTGCAAAATAAGTAACACCCTAATATAAATCAATGGTTACCAATGTAAATCACAAGTGTTATTATTAAATTATCTCAAAAACATGCTAAAAGGTTCAGTTATGATTTGTCATCTTCAGGTAATTATAGAGAAAATAAATAATAGTATTAAATGAGAATAACAATACTGCTCTTAACTGACACAAAAATACAATTAGTATTAAAACCCAAAATATAACACAAGTATATGTTCTGAAATGTATACATATTCAGAACCTAAATACAAGATCCTCAAATGATATTTTGACCATTTATATATTATTCATATATTTCTAATTTAATGCAATCCATCTCACAGAACGACTGCAAAAGAGTGTACTCTCTTATATAATATATAATACAGGCACTTCAAGAAAAAAGCTTCATAGGAGTTTCTCAATTAAAATGTTAACAGAATAATTACCATAATTATAGTAGTGCTTAAAATTATTTTGAATTTGATGAAATTAAGGTAAGTCTTATGGAAAATTCAGCATTTCATACAAAACATTAAATATATGAAATCAGATATGTAAGCTATTAAGAAATATATTTCATTAACATTAAAATACAATCATGTACTGCATTAAAATAATGTCTTTCTGTTTTACTCTTATAAATTCACCAGCTATTGCATTGTTCCAGGTTGCATCGCCAGGGTTACCTAATCTCATGGCAGGTGCACTTTGCACTTTAAATTAAGTCGTTCTCTCTTCCCGTGTGATCTATACACACCAGAACCACTCTCCCATCCATGGGTTTTATGACAAAATGACAAACAATAGCCGGGAACTAAATGCTCCAAACTTGAAAATCTCCAAACAATATTACACCACATTTGCAGCGCCACTCAATATAAATGAATCAATCAAAAAAAGGGGGTTTCTATGATTGATACTAAACATCCACCATGGCTATTCTTTACTTGCAGGAAGACCAATAAGATTGTCTCCAGTAACTTTTTTGTCAATAACTATTTTGGCTCATTTTACCTAATGCAAAGCTATGTTTATCTCTCTCTAGCCTCTGCGCCTTTATCTTAGACACTATAGAGATGCCACCCCCCCCCTCCCCCCGCGCCCTACGCTCTTCCATAAGCTTGACAGTGACACATATTGGGTCATTAGTGAGAAACTGTGCACATGCAAGCACTCCAACTGCAGCAGCATGCGCCGTGGTACACACTGACTGATGCATCCGGCTGCAGGCAACCTACGGGGTCTGCGAGCGCATATGGAGTTACTGGGCCGGTATCTGTACTTTACAGGCAGGCTGCGAGCTCGCTGGAGCTGGCCGGCCGGCGCCCTGCCCACCTCCCCGGAGCCCAGCGGGCTGGGAAGGAGGCAGCTTCCTTTACGGTTATTGACTAGGGGGACCAGCTCGGCCGCTTCTCCGCTGGGGTGCGCCCTGTGAACCGCGTTAGCGGTGCTGTCGTTGGACTTAACCAAGCGATTCTGATAGGTTGGTCTAACTTCGTCCTTTACTGCCAAATAATGAAAAATGAGATCAGCTGTGGCAACACAAATGGAAAATGACTTTAACATACAATGTTCAGTCACTGGCTAATTTAACATAAAGGACTATATGTGCGTCTATGAATAATACCTGAAGCACCATTTCATGTGCCACACCGAACATTTCCAGGGTAGCATTTAACCACGTTATGTTTACCTTCATGTATAATTATGTCAATAAAATAATAAATATGACAATAAAAATAAATGCCGATTTCAGTGTCATTCCATTAATAAATTTGCAAATTTTGTGACTAAGTTGTACCTGGAAAGCTACTGTTAGTTTAAATAATTGAAAAAGCTGCCTCATTTTTATTAAACACCACTTAACTACAAGGAATCCAATGCTAGATCTGACATATACTAAACTATGTATAATGAACATGAATTAATTAAAGGCACAGTCCTGTTCTCCCCCGTTTTTCTTCCGTGAAGTTGAACAAACCCACAACAGCACTGCATCACTGACAGCACTGCATCACTGACAGCACTGCAAAAGTCTACAGGATTCAGGTAAGTCGGTCATTTCACTGTATGCTGAAAAATGATACAATGATAAAATTTGAGAAACACTGCAAAGATAAATTTTGCTTATTACTATTTAAACATTTCATTCAAAAATGATGTTACTGATATAGAGCATTTTTTCGCAGAAGCCTCCACAATAAAATGGATCCCTAAGTGTCGCTTTCTTCAACATGCAGTTATTGATTGAATTCTTTAATAATTCCAATATTCCATAGATCCCTTCTATCCGGAGAATCGTAACAGGAATGCAGGTCAATTATTCAAACTACAGAACCAGCTTGGACCATTTGAAAATGGGATATACAGTATTACTTATCAAAATATATAAGCGCAGCAGCAACAATGTGTTATGAAGCCTTTTTAAATGTATGACAAAATGTTATAAGTAACAGACTGCGTGGTTTCAAACAGGAGCAGCAGGGAATGTAGAGTAGAAAAATAAAAGTATGCCTACAGCAAGTTAATATGGTAACTATGCCACTATTATAGTAATAAACAAGAATTTGATCGCTGTGGATAATAAACAGTTAATAAACAGTTTCATCCCGGCAGCTAATAAACATGGTTTTGGTTGAACATTCATAAGGTAAAAAAAATGCACACATCTGTGATAAAAATGTATATTAGTAACACAATTTCTTTTCTTCATCCCTTCCTCAGTGCAACTTGAACTTTGAAAGGATTCATATTTAATACGAAGGGAACTGAATTTGCTTTATTCCAAAAATCTAAATGCATATGCTTCAAATGCACTTACGCAGTAATATGTTTAGACTGTGGGGATTCTGCATTAATATGTACATGCAAATAAAATAACAGGTAGATTAATTTTACTTCCTGTGCTTTGTTTATGAGGCTTGCGTATCGTATGAGTGTGAATACCCTGTGGCTAATTATTCCCTTGAACTGTTTATCTAAGGATGGCCACAGATGGTGAAAACGCCAAAATCTACCCTTGAGGATCCGTTTGTTAAACAAAGACAACAACCATAACAACACACCTGTGTTGTCTGGATACCTCCAGATCTACGGTGAAACAGGCCTCTAGCAAGTAGCAGATAAAAGATCGCATCTTGTGATTTGCTCTGGTGCAAGAGACACCTGGTTGCTTTTTAGTTCCCAGGAGCGTTTCTATTGGTTGTCTGGTCAGATAATACAAATTTAATGTCTACACAAAAAGAAAGTTAACTAACATGTGATATCAAGTGACTATGGACACCACAATCATAAATAATAATAATAATAATAATAATAAAAAGATTCTTTCCTTTTCCTTTTCAGGACTGGCTCTGAGCGATATGGAGACGATTATTCTCACCGTCAGCTGCCGTACAGATTTAAAACCCGCACCTCTCCCAAATTCACCTGTCCCTCGTCAAACATGCAGAGAATTACTTCAGGGCCTCTTGGTGTGGCAAATTCACCATTGATGGAGCATAATTATATGAGCCACCAGACTTTCAAAACATTTCGTGTCTAATAACTATATATGCATCAACCTGGCTGATTTGTAAATGGACTTGGAATTACACACTAAACTTGCAGACAGAATAGCAATAATCCACACATGCTACACTGCATTTCAAGTATCAAATTATCAGGAAAAGTTATTTGTAAAAGTAATGATCTAATTAAGAAGTTTCATTTACCACAGATTTGAAAGTTTCATATCCTTAAACGTTCTGCACGTCAAACTTACAAAAAAATAAATGCATCAAGTATTTAAAATTAGAAAAGATTAAATAATTACTGTAAAACAAAGACAAAATCTCTATGATATCAAAATGCAAGAACACAGTAGAAAGCTGCATTTCAGGCGTCATTCTAGATACTGTGCAGAATTTTGCTGGAGTTATAGCACCATCTGGTGGTCAAACTACTACCTGCTGAAGCACCTTTGCGTTTATGGATTCGTCCGGGACACCAAAACAAGACAGATAAACCCAAGTAAAAGTTCTTAGACTTTCCTCCCAATGACTATCATTATATACACAGATGTTTAAGCATAATTTTCCTCAAATAATTACTACACCTGCAGCACTTTGTTCACTACACAGTTCTGACAAGGAAACATATTAACACAGGGCAATGATGAAAGGTAAAGGCATTGCAGCTTTGCATCTGTATCAAAGCGGAGTTTTGGGACTAAATGAGGAGAGCGGTGGAGGACTTTAAACAAAGAAGAGGAATAGTAAAAACTTACTTGGTTTTTTAAATCCATTATAGCTATTTTTAGCTGAGGAAAACGTAGAAACATTCAAAGGTTATAACTCACAAATGGAAAGCAACACCATCGAAAACTGAAGGTTAAAAAATGATTAGAAAGAGGAGAGGTGAAAAAGAATGAATTAAACTGATTTAAGGCACTGGTAAGTCCAGAAACGACTGGTAAGATCACAAACGTAAAAGGCAATGGGTGGAAAAAAGAATCTGAACATACAGAGATTAAAGCTCCAGCAAAAGCAGGCTATTTTTGATTCGTTCTGAGATTTTCAAGCTCATTAATTTGCCAACAAAATGAGATTGTAAGTTAATGAAAATGCCATGGTCTGTCCTTCCTTACCATTTCATTAATATGATGAATTTTTGAAGAATGCGATGAACAATGGTTTTGTATATTAAGTTTTAGGAAGAGTATTACTTAAGCAAAGAGAATAATAATAATAATAATAATGAATAAATCATTTAAAAAAACAAACATACCACAACACAACAGTGGCCTGTACTACGAAGTGGACTAACTAGCTTATTGGTGTAACTTGTCGGATTTAAGGTACCACAGTTTAAATGGACTTCATATTCGTTCACTTACATTTTGCCTTAAATCCGACAAGTTACCCCGATAAGCCAGTAACCCCGCTTCATAGTACAGCCCCCAGAATCACTGTATCATGTTTTATGTGTATTTGTGTGAGTACAGTATTTGTGTTTGGCTGATTCAATCCATAAATAAATCTGAAATGAAGAAAGATCCAAATCTTTCTGTAAGTAAAAACTTACATGCTTTTTTCATTCCAGTAGAACTATTTCTAGCTGAGGAAAATGCAAAAAAAAAAACATTCACATGTTACAACTCTTCAAAGAAAGCAAAATCATCGAAAACTGAAAGTTGAAAGATGGAAATAAAAATAAACTGAAATAAAAATGTCGTTTAGGCACCGATATATCCAGAGGCACCTGGGAAGATCACAAAAATAAAAGGTAATGGGTGGCGGGAAAAAAAGTATGAGAGTTAATAAACGGACAAATACAAAGGAGAAACTGAAATTGCTGAATATTTAAATATTAAAGCACAAGCAAAAGCACGTGATTTTTGTTGCCAAGGTTTCAAGCTCATTAATCTGCCAATGAAATGCAATTCGTAGTTAGTGAAAGTAACATGGTCTTACCATTCCAGTATCATGATGAGTTTTGCCATGAACCATACGGTTGTGTAAATGTAATTTTTTGTAATTATCTCTTAAGTTTGAGAGTAGCGTGTAAAAGAATAAATAAAAAAAACAGCAGATACAACAACAATAATATGTATGTGATACTATTTCAAAGCATTAAAAAATCTGAAATGAAGATCCAAATATTTTCCCATATGTATGGTTTGTATAGTAATCCTAAGAATCAGACTGTCTTATAATGAGAGGACACATGTTTACTGGGCTTCTGTGCAAATATAAGCAAAGCTCCTGGCACAGGTGAACTGGAAGGCGAGAGACCAGTGCCGTGAAATTCACTGCAAGACCACTGGGGATCAAAAGTCCAGCCATTCATTAGTACTTTTTCTGATACGATTTCAGACAATAAAGGTCACAGTTTGGGCTCAAGGCAGCGCTGTGACTGTAATGTTCAACTTGGAACCATGCTGGCCCTGGCATCTGTCGCATGTGATCGGTCGACGCAAGAGGAGTCAGAGGACTAACTGGCTAGCATCTGTCCTACACCGAGGAGGAATGCGGGACACTCCGCTGCCTGGTGGTAAGGAACTGTCAGGTTGAGTTTCATGACAACCCGTAGCACTCAAGAAATGAAAATGCAAACATAATTTCTGTGTCACCCTGCATAAGGCCCCTTGCTCGATCCGGGCCGCAGCAGGCAGACACCATCTTTACGAGTCTGTTCCCGTCATACAGAGAGAGCGCCCGTGCCACTTTCACCCGCATGGGCCCGGGAAAAATACCGCAGGAGAGTGACGCCTTTACAGCTGTAACTTCTGACCTGCTCTCCCCCGAAAAGATGCCTACTGTTCGGTCCGTGCGCCTCGATAGTCTGATGCCAGAAGAGACGACAGCGACGATTCTCCGGACATCGGGAAAATAAATAAATAAATATGGGGACCGTGGATGTAAATAGAATAGGCTTGTGATGCAATATCACCTCCTAATACTCGAGGCTCAATAAAAAGGCACACGGACAGCATCTACAGCCCGGACGGGCATCGACTTTTAAG